GGTGCCTGGAGAGAGTGCCCGGTGCATTCTGCTCACCCTCTCGTCCCAGTTCAATGTCACTTCCTCAGGACACCATGCCCGGCTCTTACCCTTTGTCAGAGCCCTGATCACGCCCGTCCTGACAGTCATTGCTGTTCATTGCCGACTGCTTTATTCCTCCTTTGAGACTGCGTTTCCGGATGGCAGGGGCGGTGTGGGTCCCAGTCCTCGCCATAGCCCCCGTGCTGGCACGCGGTACGGCACGGAGCAGGCGCTCAGTTAGTAGTTGTGGAGTGAACAGGAGGGTGCAGAGCAGAAGCTGTTGTGGACTTGGCCCAGCAGAAGATAAAGGTGGAGGTGGGGTGGGTGTTGTGGTGTGGCGGGTTAAGCCCGCGCTGGGAGTGCTCAAGCCCATATCAGAGCGGTGGTTCCAGGCCTGGCAGCTCGGCTTTCCCTCCAGCTCCCTGCTGATGTGCCTGGGAGGCAGCAAGCAGGGGACGGCCCAAGTGTTCGGACCCTGCCATCCCTGTGGGCGACCCCGAAGGAGTTCCTGGCTTCCACCTGGCCTAGCCCCACCTGTTGTGGGCATTTGGAGAGTGAACTTTTGAGTCGAAGATCTCTCTCCCTCTTTCTCTTTCCCTCCCTCCCTCTCTCTTTCTCCCACCCCCATCAATTTGCTTTTCAAAAAAGATGAAAAAAGATATAGATGAGCATGGTGTATGGCAGTCGGTGCTCCCGGCTGCAGGCAGGGGCAGGTGGGCTGGCGCAGGAGGCAGAGGCACCGTCCAGAAGGCCGGGGTCGGGGCCGACTTCACGGCAGAGCTCGTTTGCTGGGTCCTGGAGGAAGGCGCCAAGGCGTGAGGCGGCCCTTGTGGGGAAGATGCCGCGGTTCCCGGGGCTCCCGGAGCAGGAGGGAGGTGTGGCTCCGAGCCGCTGGGCAGTGGAGAGGCCCCCAGCGGGCGAGCAGGTGCAGAGGAGCTGGGGGAGCCAGGTCGGCTGTGGTGAAGGCCGGGCTCGAGGAGAGAGCCGGGCTCCGCTCGTGCTCCTGGACTTGGTTTGTAACCTCCTGCCTGCCTCCCCCACAACTCCTGTCCCTGGGGGACCCCTGCGGCAGACCCTGGCCCCAGCCCAGCCCCAGCCCTGCCCACTACCCCACTGCTGGCCTGGCCCAGGCCTCCAGCAGCACTCTGTGTGGCTCAGACTGAATGACACCAGTGCCAACACGTTTCTAATTTTAAAATATGTATGTCTCACACTTGGAGCATTTATCTTCCGCCCAGTTTTCTTTTCTTTTTTTAATTAGGTGGAGACACACACACACACACACACAGAGCACGCGCAAGCGAGCATGCTTCCATCTGCTGGTCCACTCCCCAGATGCCTACAGTGACCAGGACTGTGCCAGTTGGGAGGCTGGAACTCAGTCCAGATTTCCCACATGGGTGTCAGGGCCCAGTTACTTGAGCCCTCACTGTTATCTCCCGTGGTGTACATAGGCAGGAAGCTGGAATCAGGAGTGGGAGTCGAGAAGTGGACCCACTCCAATACAAGACCCTGGCGTCTTAACTGCGGCCAAACGCTCGTCCCAAGCATGGCTTTTTTTTTTTTTTTTTTTTTAAGATTTATTTTCTTTATTTGAAAGGCAGAGTTATGGGGAGAGGAGAAGAGAGAGAAAGAGTCTTCCATCTGCTGGATCACTCCTTAGGAGGCCACAACAACAAGGGCTGGGTCAGGCTGAAGCCAAGATCCAGGAGCTTCTTCCAGGTCTCCCACGTGGGTGCAGGGGCCCAAGCACTTGGTCATCTTCTGCTGCTTTTCCAGGAGCATTAGCAGGCAGCTGGATTGGAAGTGGAGCAACCGGGACTCGAACTGTTGCCCATGTGGGATGTTGGTGTTGCAGATGGTGGCGTTACCTGCTACGCCACAGTGCCAGCTCCAGCATAGCTGCTGCTGCTGCTTTTTTTTTAATATTTATTTATTTATTACTTGAAAGGCAGTTACAGAGAGGCAGAAAGAGAGTTCTTCTATCCCTTGGTTCACTCCACACATGGCCTCAACTGCCAGAACTGAGCTGATCAGAAGCCAGGGGCCAGGAGCTTCTTCCAGGTCTCCCATGCGGGTACAGGGGCCCAAGGACTTGGGCCATCTACTGCTTTCCTAGGCCATAGCAGAGAGCTGGATCGGAAGTGGAGCAGCCAGGACTTGAACCAGCGCCCATATGGGATGCCAGCACTGCAGGCAGCATCTTTACCCGCTACACCACCGCGCCGGGCCCTCAGCATAGCTTCTTTTAATGCTTCCGTTTTACAGTTAGAGATTTATTTTCCTCGTTTCCTCCTCTCGAGCTTTTTAAAGCGTTGCAGTTGCTTAGCTAGGGAGTTTTTTATTTTCTATTTATATTAATTATCGAAGCACTCTGCTTCATTATGAGTCATTCAGTTGATCTGTTTTTGCCTCCTCCTTTCAAGTCCTAGAGTGGATGTGTTAAGCAGTTGGCACCTGTTCTTATGTTTGGTGAGATTTAGGCCGGAGAGTGGGGAGATACAACCGCCGTGGGGTCTTGTTGCCCACAATTCCTGGGTCAGGGGTTGATGCTGGGTGGACGGCTGCTGACCCGCACGCCACTCACCACGGATGGGAGCTGGGCTTCTCCTGTCGGCAGGAAGGCTGCCTTCCTGGGTGCTTTGTGAGGAGGTGGGTGACAGAGCCTTGAACGCGGACCCTGGGAGAGCCCGGGATGACCCGGGACAGCGTCGGGTGTCCCTGGGAGCGTGACCAGACGGGTGGACGCTGAGGGGGCAGGTCTCATGTGGTGACAGGACTGGAGAGGCTGCCGCACCGTCCAGGGGCCGTGCCCTCTGGACCACGTGGCTGCTGCATTGGCGCCGAAGTCAGCCTGGGAGTGGATACTGGGCACTTTCAGGGAAGGTGGCCGCTGCCATGGGCCAGGCCTCCGGGGGGACGGGTGGGGACAGAAGCAGAAAGCTCGTGTTGAGCTCCAGGGTGTGTATAGAGTCCGTTGGAACGGGAGGCTGGGTCAGGGCAGAGGTGTGTGTGTTCTCCCTCCCGGTCATGCCTGGGTGACTTCTCAGCTCTGGGCTTCAAGTGACAAGGACCCAACTCAAACTAGCCAAGCAAAGAGGAGCCTCATGGGCCTGACAGCTTTGCAGTCAAACCAGTAGTTGAGGCATGGCTGGATCCAGCCGTAGGCAGTGGCATCAGGACTGTTTTCCTCCCTGAGTGGCAGCAGATAGCCCCGCCCCTTGCTCCAGCTGGCTGGCAGGGCCCAGCGTTTGCTGTGCCACTGGGGGCAGGGTTACTCGCTCCAGGCTGCGAGTCTCAGTGTGAACACTTTGGCTGCACCACCATGTCTGGTCCCAGGGCTTCAAAGGGAGCCGGCCTTTACTGTGAGAGTGGAGACGCCAACCCTGAGTCCCAGGCATTGTGCAAGGTCGCCTCTGGTCCCTGAAGCTGCTGTGGGCATTGAGAGCCGCAGCTGGGCCCAGGGAGATCCCCCCCCAGCTCAACTTGGTCCCCATTCCTGTCTTCCACCAGTGGGAATACAGCAGCCATGTGGGGCTCCTTGGAACCCTGTTTGAGATCTGCTGGGTGGGGAAGAGGCTGCCAATGTCCTCGTCACCAAAACACCGTCTTCTGCCACTCAATCGCTGTGCGATGCAAGGGTCAGCCAGGGACACCTTCCCTCTGCAGGCGGGGCTCAGGCTGTAAGTGCCGTCCCTTTCCTGACCCTTGTCCCTCAAGGTCTGGTTGTGCGTGCCTCAGTTTACCTTTTCCCGAGGAGCCAGGCCCACACCAGGGGCAGAGGCTCGGGCATCGGGCACTTTGAGAGGCTGCTGTCCCGTGCGCCCCCCAATGCCTGCACTGAAGGTTTTGGACCCCAGACCCCAGGACGGGCCCTTTCTAACCAGGAAAGTCGTAGGAATTCCTAAAAGCATCCAGACAGGTAAGAAACCCAACACCTCCCTCTGCAGAACACTCCCCGCCAGGGGTGGCCAGGGCAGGCCTCCATCCCGAGGAGAATCCAGGCCTTACTTTGGCTCCAGCTGGGCCTCCCCTGCATCGGCTCTGAGTGATCCACAGCTTCCTCTGGCGTCCTCAGGTTGCCCCTGACAACCGTGGAGGGAGGCTCAGCCAGCTGTGCTCCTGTCCTAGCCCCTCGGTTCCTGGTAGGTGTTTCTGAGCCTCACGGCTCCGTTCAGACGGGGCTTTCCCGGGAGTCTGCAGACTCCAGGGAGGGGCTGTGTCCGTGCTGGGCAGGGTCTGGTTCATCGGGGGCTGGATTATGAACCGCTGTTCAGGGCTGTCCCAGGGCCCTGCTGCCCTGAGTGGGAGGCGGCAGGAGCGGGGGAGGGCCGGCACTGCACGCTCTGTGCTGTCTGTATCATCCTTCGAAATGCCCGAGTGGGCACAGAGGGATTTGGGCTTCATGGCCAAGGGGTGTGTGTGTGTGTTTAAAGATTGATTTATTTGAAAGAGTTACAGAGAAAGGGAGAGACAGAGAGAGAGGTCTTCCATCCTCTGGTTTACTCCCCAGATGGCTGCAACAGCCAGGACTGGGCCACGCTGAAGCCAGGAGCCAGGAGCTTCTTCCTGGTCTTCCACATGGGTGCAGGGGCCCAAGCACTTGGGACATCTTCCATTGCTTTCCCAGGTGCATTAGCAGGGAGCCGGGTCAGAAGTGGAGCAGCTGGGACTGGACCCATATGGGATGCCGGCATTGCAGGCAGCGGCTTCCCTGGTGTGCCACAGCGCCGGTCCCAGGGGCTGTGTTTTGATGAAACACTAAGCAGCAGGTGGGTCTGGGGTCCCGGGAGGGTTCTGTGTGAGGGCTGTTTCCATTGTTTGGCCTGCCGTGTGTAGGATGGGTCATGGCTGCGGGATCTGTGTCCCCAGGTACCCGCATCTGGTGTCAACCAGGACAGGGCCGTGACAAGTCCCCTGACAACCGGGAGATGGGCTTGGAAAGCAGAAGCCAAATTAAGTTGCTGAGGCAGCATTTCTTAGAGTACGCGAGGAGCTGGCGTATTTTTAACTACACAGATGAGCGTTAGATGTTCTGCTGGCTAATTGCTTACTTTCTTGTGCAGTAGAGCATAACTTTGTTTTATTCAGTGACCTTTTGTTCAGTGGCAAGGGATATGGCTCCCTGTGTATGGTGGAGAGAAAGTTTCTTAAACAGATTTGAGTAAAAGAGTTCCTTTAAAGGAGAACACTACTAAAGAACAGGACAGGAGCCGCAGGGTGGCAGGTGGCGTGAGGCTGCCTGAGATCCGGGACCGTGTTGGATGAGAAGAGCTCGTGGAAGTCAGGTGAGGTGGGGGAAGCATAGGACAGGGGGAGGCGGAGACGCGAGGTGTGGGCAGACTGCAGGCCCACCGTGGGTTCCAGGGCCGCAGGCAGGGTGACCAGTCAGGGGCCCAAGTCAAAAGAGTAACAGACCATTCGGAGGGGGGGGGGGCTTTTGTCCTGGTAGTTAAGATGCTCACATTTCAGGGTCGGCACTGTTACGTAGCAGGTAAAGTCACAGCCTGCAGTGCCAGAGGCTGCGTGGGGCCAGAGCTCCCCAGCCAAGGACGCTGGAGCCAGGCAGGTACGAGGAGAGCCCAGCGTGGTTTCTCTGTGGACAGGCTAGAGGCTGCACGTGGAGGCCTGGAAAGGAAGGGCCCGCCCCTCTGGGATGGGCTGGGCTTCAGCGACCTGTTCCTGCTGTCTCCTGGCCCAGCATGGGGTGTGCTGGGGGCTGCAGGCAGCTCTTCTCTGCACCAGAGTTCTGCAGGAGGAGGAAGTGGGCCATTTCCGGCCCTGAGGTTTGGCCCAGGTGGGTCACATGGTTCTCTTTCACCTCTCCCATTGCATCCTTTAATGTGTTCACCGCTCCCAGGGTATGGGGGCTGTGGTCTCCGCCGCTGCCCCGAGCTGCAACCTCCAGCAGTCGCCAGCCTGCCCAGGTGGGTTCCTTGGTGCCTCACTAGCCCAGCTCCCTGAGTTACTTCCCAGCACTGAAGTTCTGAGAGCAGGGGCCGTCCCAGAGGCCTCCTCCCTTCTGAGGGGACGGTTCTCTTCCTGGACACCGTGCCCGCCTTCTACTCCCGCCTTCCTCGTGCAGGCTCGGCGCTCGGCAGCACTGTGGTTGGGTCCATCCCGTGCACTGTGCAGTGCGCCCACGGGCCCTACAGAGATTCCCGAATAAATACACAAACACAGGGACTCGATCTGCGGTCCAGGCACTGAGGAAGAGAGAGAGCAGGGAGCTGGCGTGTATGACTTTCCAGTGTCCGCACCGGGCTGTGTGCCGCTGAGGACCACAGGGTGTGACATGGTGCTCGAACCCTGAATAGCAGCAGGTGCTGCGGGTTCCTCGTTTGACAAGCGCAGGTGATGAGACCATGTTGCCAATCGACACGGAAGCGTCCGGAAGGGAATGACACCAGGCGTGAATGTAGCCGTTAAATGACAAGATTCTTCCCTGTTGATAGAGACTGGGGTGGGATTTTATCCTCTGTTGATAAGATGATGTAAAAGTTCAAAAAGTTTTTATTCCGCTCGGAAGCATTTATTATCATTATTCTTTAGCGGTTTAACGTTTACCAACAAAGTACATGGGGCGCACAGGGAGCTCCGGCGCAGCCCGCGCCTCCTCTGGTTTCCCGTCGTCAACACCTCGCAGGGATGGGGTGCGTTCCCGGCGCCTGAGCCGGTGCTGATGCGCGGCTGTTAACTAACGCCAGTGGTTTATGCCGGGGCTCACTTTCAGCGTCTGACTTCCTGCAGCTCCAGCCGATGTGTGCGGCACGTTTCCCTATCACAGAGAATGTTACGGGATTGTACTCAGAACTGAAATGCTTGGGAGCAGAAGGTTTCAGATCGCCGAGTTTTGGGATTTGGGAATATTTGTGGGTACATAATGAAATATCTTGGGGAGGGGACCCAAGGCTAAACTCAGAATTAGTTTGTTTCGTCTGCGCCTTACACACATGCCCTGAAGGGAACTTTGTGCAGTCATGTTGTCCTGCGTCTTGACCACGACCTGGTCACACGTGGTCAGATGTGGAATTTTCCACTTGTGACGTCATGGTGGCACTCAGGGTGCAGGTTTTGGAGCTTTTCCGGCCTTGGCATTGGGGATGCTCAGCCCTGCAGCTCCCACGTGCGCCACTTCCCCGCCCTCCCCGTCTCCCAGCAGGTCCCTGATGCTTCTACTGTCTGCGTGGTCAGCGTCCCAGAGCTGGTAGCAGGACATAGCCATTTAGACTGGCTTCTTTCCGTGTCGTTTCATGTTCTTTTTGTGGTTTGTGAGCACATTTTTTGGGTGGGTAGGAGGCCTGTAACTTACAAAACCTTTTGTATCACCAAGATATTGTACTTGGAGGTATCTTCTGTTGGTTCTCAGTGTCTCGTTTGCTGGAAGACGTAAGCCATTTATTTAAAGATTGAGCTGATTATTGGCACATACCAACAGGGGCTATTTCAGAAATTTGTGGAAAAGTGGAACTGAAAGATACCTGTATTTTACATCAGAAGTTTGATATTCATAATGCGTAGCTTTTTGTAATATACATTTGCATGAACTTTTAAGACCTCTTTATTCACTTATTTTAATTGAAAGACAGAGAGAAAGACACAGAGAGAGAGAGATCGCCCATCTACTGGTTCACTTCCCAGAAGCCCACAACAGCCAGGGCTGGGCCAGGTTGCAGCCAGGAGCCAGGAACTCCATGAGGGACTCCCATGTGGATGGCAGGGGCTCAAGTACTTGAACTATTACCTGCTGCTCCCAGGTGCATTAGCAGTGGGGCTGGAATCAGGAGTGGGGCCAGGGTTTGAACCCAGGCCCTCCTGATACGGGACGTAGGCATCCCAGGTGGCATCCTGACCACCATGCCAAATGCCTGCCCCCCACGAACTTTATCATGACCTCAAGTATGCGTGGAGGTCACTCTGCTCTCCTCTCCTCACGCCAAAATAACCTTTTAATTTGATCTTCCACAAGCCTTTTTTTTTTTCTTTTTCTTTTTTTTTTTTTGACAGGCAGAGTGGACAGTGAGAGAGAGAGACAGAGAGAGAAAGGTCTTCCTTTGCCGTTGGTTCACCCTCCAATGGCCGCCGCTGCAGCCAGCGCACCGCGCTGATCCGATGGCAGGAGCCAGGATCCAGGTGCTTTTCCTGGTCTCCCATGGGGTGCAGGGCCCAAGCACCTGGGCCATCCTCCACTGCACTCCCTGGCCATAGCAGAGAGCTGGCCTGGAAGAGGGGCAACCGGGACAGAATCCGGCGCCCCGACCGGGACTAGAACCCGGTGTGCCGGCGCCGCTAGGCGGAGGATTAGCCTAGTGAGCCGCGGCGCCGGCCTCCACAAGCCTTTTGAAGCCCCTGCATACACGCCTGCCTGGTGAACGTGTGGTGAGATTCTGGTCATGCTGGACGTGAGACTCATTGACAAGCTCCCCAAGAGAGAACGCAGGCTGAAACAAAGCTAAAGCCCCGGGGACTTGAGCCACTGGCCTGGCCTCGGCCCTCGCCTAGACGATGCCTGTTCCTGGGAGATGCGGCCAGCCTGGCCCCAGAGCAAGCGAGCAGACCAGAGGGAGTGGACAGTCAGTCACGTGAGGAAAGCCACTGGCCTGCAGCGTGCCAGGAGACTGGTGTGCCAAGGACTGTTCTAACTGGACGGCTAGTGACGGGCAGTGTTGGGTGCCCGCGTCCCGAGTCTCTCCTATCGAGACCTCCATCTACTCCCAATTCCAGCTTCCTGCTGTGTGCATCCTGGGGTATGGCAGGTGATGGCTCCAGTGCTTGGACCCCTGCCACCCATGTGAGAGACCCAGATGGAGCTCCTGGCTCCCGGCTCCAGCCTGGCTCAGCCCTGCCTGTTGGGGATATTTGGGGAGTGAACCAGTGGATGGGAGCGTGCGCTCTCTCTCTCTGCTTTTCCAATAAATAAGTGTATAAAAATGTTAAAAGTACTGTTTTACTTTGAAAATACAGAGAAGTCAGGAAGAAGACTTTGTTTTTGGCTCTCAAGATCCCAGCTGGCGGCCTCCAGGGGTGAGGATGGGAGCAGTGCCCAAGGCATGGGTGAGGCGAGGGCTGGGCAAGACGGGGAAGACAGGGACACCTCTGAGGGGCCCAGAAAGCTCAGGGAGAAATGGAGCTGGGAGATAACTTTATTTTGATACAAATATAGGCATCCATGCCGGTTTTTTTCCTAATAGGTGTTTTCCATGCACTTTTCCCAGACCCTTCCCAGCAGGGCTGGTCAGGTCGCTGGTAGTACAGGCACTGGGGACTGCAGGGGGCACTCGCTGGGGACATCCGGGGATGTGGAGAGGGGACTTTGAAGTGTTAGGAATCCGTGAAACAGTGTCATTGTTTCAGGAAACAGAAACTGGTGGAACATAGAGTGATTGTATTTTTTAAAGATTTGTTTATTTATTTGAAAGAGTTACATGGTGAGAGAAGGCAAGAGAGAGAGAGATGGAGGGAGGGAGGGAGGGAGGGAGGTCTTCCATCTGCTGGTTCACTTCCCAGTCGGCTACAATGACCGAAGCTGCGCCGATCTGAAGCCAGGAGCCAGGAGCTTCCTCCAGGTCTCCCACGCAGGTGCAGGGGCCCAAGGACTTGGGCCATCTTCTGCTGCCTTCCCAGGCCATAGCAGAGAGCTGGATCAGAAGTGGAGCAGCTGGAACTCGAATTGGCCCCCATATGGGATACCAGCACTACAGGAGGCAGCTTTACCAGCTGTGCCACAGCACCAGCCCCAAAAGATTGTATTTTTTAAGAAGATTTATTTATTTGCTTGAAAGTAGAGTTAGAGAGAGAGAGAGAGAGATCTTCCATCTGCAGATTTACTCCCCAGATGGTCACAATAGCCAGGGCTGGACCAGGCCGAAGCCAAGAGCCAGGAGCTTCATCATTGTCTCCCACATCGGTACAGGGTCCCAGATACATGACTTCTGCTGCTTTCCCAGGCCAGGGAGCTAGGGAGCTAGATTGGAAGTAGCAGGGCATGAGCTGGGACCATGTGGGACGCGGCCCTAAGGTTCTGAGTCGCCCACGGCAGCCTTGCTGCAGAGCGGTGGTGTGGGGTGAAGCAGAGTCCACCTTCTCCCTTGTGCTTAGTGAGGTCAGAGCAAAGCCAATGAGGTCGTGAACGTACCTGCTGTGCCTCAACCTGATACAGCAGTGTTGCCAGCTCATTTTTATCACTGAATTGTAGTTCCTTATATTTCTTTATGTGACAGGTAGGGAGGAAGAATTGGGGTGCGGGTGGAGGGGAGAGAACCTTGCATTTGTTGGTTCACTGCCTAAA